AAGGTGTCCCTTCTGTTGTGTCAACTGCACTGCTCAGCTTCATGTCATCTGCAAACTTGCTGAGGGTGCACTTGCACTTGATCTTACTATATAATTGATGAAGATTTTAAAGAGGATGAGTCCCAAAACACAGCCATGAGGGACACCGTTCGTCACTGGCTTCCACATGGGCATAGAGCCATTGAGCACAACATTCTGGCAGCATCCATCCATCCGATTCCTTATCCACTAAATAGTCTACCCTTCAAATCCATGTCCCTCCGATTTGGAGATAATGATGTCATGTGGGACCATGTCAAAGGCCTTACAGAAGTCTAGTTAGATGACACCAGTTGATCTTCCCTTGTCAACTGTTGCAGTCACTCCATCATAGAAGGCCACCAGATTGGATAGACATGAACCTGAACTCTTACTAGTTGCTCTGGACATTAGTCCAGAGGATATATGTAGTGTAAAATATCTTCTGCTGTCCACAGAGGACATCTCTCAGTCAGCCAGAAAATTGGAATCATTGTTGCCTTATTGTTTGTAAATGTTTGCATTTACTTCTGTCTCTCCACTTCTTTCCTCCATCTCCACTCAGGTGAATACAGATGGCAAAGTTAAGTTTGAGTCTTGGGTATGCATAATGCTTACACTGCATCGTCGCTAGTGAAGTGGCTGTGTAGGTCATGCAGCGTTAGTGCACTAACAAAACAGACAAACATCTGTTAATGTTTTACTTATGCTCCCCAGTGCATGCTATTTTGTCTAGGCCTCCAGGCTTTTCATTTTCGTGGTTGCATTCAAATCAATAGACTTATCTATTGAATCACAGAAAATTTGGGGTTGGAAGAGACCTTTAAAGGCCATCTAGTCCAACCCCCTGGCAGTCTGTCCCAGAAGAGAAACTGGGACATCTTCAACTCAATCAGGTTGCTCAGAGCCCTGTCCAACCTGACCTTGAACTCTTACAGGAATGGGGCATCTACTACCTCTCTAGGCAACATGTTTCAGTCTCTGTTATTGAAGTGTAATACCTGGAATACTCTTACAATATTCTGACAGGTGAATGTTGTCTTTTGTTGTTACCTGTGCTCTGTGGGGGGGTGTGTTGTTTTGCGTCTGTTTTATTTTTGTTAGTTTAAGTATCTTAATGAGTATTTCTTCTTTATAATAGAGGTGTGATAGTATTTGTGTTGTTTTATTGTCTAATAAAGCAGCACTAAAATTTGGATTTGAGAGGACTTAATTGTCAAATGGGGATGTTGATGGTCTCAGGAATAGGTAGCTGTGCAACCTGATCTTTTTCAAGATGCTGGATTATTTGTATATTAAAATACAAAATGAATGTTGGGCTGTATAAAGTATGTGGGGAAGAAGGGGGAATACTAAATTTAAAACAAATTCACGTACCACCAAACACTTTCTAAGAAAAATGTTGCATTTTCATGTACTGATGCATGTTTTTAAAAAATCACCTATGTATTTGAAAGAAGCTTCTATTTATTTTCTTAGCATATATTTTTTCAGTTTAATTTCTCTTTAATGGGTGAGTTCAAAGGCAAAACTGCAGTTGTGTCCTCCTCTTTTAAACCAGGAAAAAGCCTGAGGTTGTGCACCATGCCACGGACACCTAGCTAGTATTCAAGTAGGCTTTTTGGGTGATGAGCTGCCACAAAGACATCATGAAGTGCTGGTAGGGAGTATCCCCACACAGGACAAAGAGCCACTGTGAGGTTCCCTGAACTCTTTATGTGGTCAGGACTGTTGGCTCTTTATTAAGAGTACTGCATTTATCCAGGCAGGTTCGTAGTACACTGGAGTTGCTTCCTGTGTCCCTGAGCAGGTCTACATTCCAGCCACCAGTGTGCTGGAGGGGAGTGTTCTCTGTGCAAGAGTTTCCTGAAGGCTGGAAACACCTGAATGTTTTGGAAGATGTACTGTGGGCTGATCCTGGTGTTGCCATTGGACATCTGCTGCTGGCTCCCATAAGCGGCATCCCTTGTTCCTTATGGAATTCCTGCACCTCACAGGCTCAGTTTGAGGAAGCTCTGTGCTGTCAAGATGCTGCCAGACTGCCTTGTTTATGAATTTTTTTTTCAGCAGTATTCCATGCACTGATTTACATATATTATATTAAACCTCTGTATTTGATGCAGTTCTTTGTGAGGAGGGCTTTTGCTTTAAGCATAACTGGAGAAGATTGCTGAAATGTAGTTAAGCTTGGTGTCAGTGGGCAGCTTCCAGAACTTGCCAAAATGGGCTTTTACACATTACAGCTGTTAGACAGGTAACTCCAAATAGCAATTTATTCCTGTCTTATGCTTGCTATCTCAAGTTCTTGCATGATGGGTTACTATCTAAATGTGACTCTTAGGAGTAGGTAAAGTTCTCTATATGATAGCATGCATGTAAACTTTATTTACACTAGTGTATCAGGTTAATTGACTCAGAGTATCTGGCTGAAACAAGCTCTGTTGTCTAAAATGTTTGGTGCTATGATTGTCTTTCTACCATAGCTGCTCCTAATTTGTGAGTGAAGATTTGGGAATGCAGTCAACTACATCTTCATATCACTTCAGAAAAGTTTCAAGTATAAGGTCATGGCTTCTGGAGGCATCCAGCAAATGAGAATGACATGTAAGAAGGGACATCGTATAACACAAAGACATGTTTCTGGGTATATTCTCCTGCATTAAAAAAAAAAAAAGGAGGAATAAATAAGTTCCCAGTGTTAAGGGTTGGTGATTTTCTCTCAGGAGACTATGTCTTGCAAAACCTATACTGTAACTTTCTAAGAATAATTTTAATAGCTGCTTATTTTGGAATGGCTACGCATTTCTATTTGATCTATTATTTGTGGAGTATTTAGCCACAGCTACAGAGTAAATGGTCATATGAATGGAAGAACTAGTGACCCAGTTGATTGGTTTTTTTAATTTATTTTCTCCAGATGGCTCTGCAACCTTATCACTATTTCTCCGTTTGTTTTTTTTCCTGACAGAATAATTATGGCTGTTGAAAGAGACTCCTCACAAGCATTATGAATACTACAGTGTCATGGCCACCACTGCAAAATTTAGACTACTTAGGAGATCTTTCTCTGAAAACAATACCTTTCAGATAGTTTCTGACTTTTAGTGTACTGTAACAACAGGTTTAACAAGATACTCTTCCTTTTGAGCATTGGTTCTAACCCTTTAACTTTTTGGAGGCCTCTTTCTTCTGTTGAGGAAATGTTTCTTTTATAGTGGTATGTAATGTGCTGTAGTGGAACTTAGACTGCCCAGGGGCTGTGTTGAGACTGCCAAGTCTGTGAAACTACTCATCTTGACTTTGCAGCACCGTTTTCCCTAGGGGAAAACACAATCATCAGGTTTATTGTACAGTGACAGATGTTTAATTTGTAAATGTCACAGCAACTTCAAGGGTTCTGTGTCTGGCATACAATGCTTTAGATACTGGTTTTACGTGAGAAGACAGCTATGATGTATGGCTGGAGTAGCTGCAGTTCTGCTTGCTTTTTCTTTTTGAATTCTGTTGGAGAAGGTGACTAAACTCTTTGCTAAATATCTGTTACAGTTGAGGTGTGTGTGATGTCTTTTCTTGTCACGATGTGAATTATGTAAAAATCTTGCTCTTACAAAGGCTGCACATTCAAACGTAGTCTTATAGCTGCTTCATTTTAATTGTCTTTCAGTGTCACTTCCCTACAACATCTGTAATAAGCTGTTTTAGTCAGAAGGGACTTATCTGCTCCTGCAGTCAGATACCTGAATCTGAACTATCATCTTGACTCTATCTGTAGCAAGTAAAGGGAAATTGGTGGTTCTAGGTTGTAGATACATTGCATGCCATGTGCACCTACTATTTTGCCTTGACTGGACTTGGGAACTAATCAGTTTGGCAACCCTTTAGAATTATATTAGAGGAAGACACCTTTAAATTTAACAAGAATAAAAAAGCTTGTGTTCTCATATTCTAAAATAGCCTAAAAGTCCAGATTGGTTACACTTGGCTTCAGACATCTAACCTATACATCTAAGCCATAAGCATCATCATCCTGCTGAGTAATTAGTGGAACAGTGGTTCTTCCTGCCAGGTTATGCAATATTTTGGTAACATGAGAGATCATTACATACAGTATTTTGTGACAACTGCATCTCTTGTGATCCAAAAATGTAGTGCTGCTGTAGTCACAATGACATTATATTGGGTTTTACAGAACATTATTCCATTCAACAGGTTGATGCTGTGTGCTCCCCTACTGGACCAAACTCTATTTGGCATACTGAAATGCCCTCTGGTGTGGAATAAAATTCATTAAGCTAGGCAGCAGGTGACAATAGGCTTAAATGTGACCTTTGACTGTTCTTTATAACTATTCTTCATGGGCCATCTTAGGACCTTATCCCAACCTGCCCTAAAGACAGATATGGGATGTTACTAATTTGTGTTTGTGTAATGGTTACATTCAGTTGAGCTTCTTAGATTTTTGGCTGTAACTCAATGCTGGCAGCAGGAATAAATATATACTAAGATGCTTACTTGTCCAAATCATACACAGTCTGCAAAATACCTGTTTATAGTGTATCTGCACATTTCAATATGCAGCTACTGATCTGTATAAATTGAATATTATACCCCTACTATCTGTATACTGTATGATTCTCCATAGTCAAATGTTCTGCTGGTAGTCTTTGAAGCAACTGCATTTAAATATTGATTTTTTAAAAAATGCAATTGATACTGTGGGAGTTTTCAGTAGGGAGAGTTGCAGCCAAAGCAGCAGTGTCTAGCTGTGGTCTGGTTCACAGTAAAATTCTCGATTGTGGTTTTCCGTTGCTTGTAACATGATGGTAATAGCTTGTGAGTTGCTGAAAAAATGAGTAATTCATGCACTTTGAGCTAGAGGTGAAGGAAGAAGGAGAAAATATGAGCAAACCTATAATTTTCCCAAGTACTACAGTTACCTTGTCTCATAAGTTAATGCAACTACTTTTGTTGTCTTATCACAGATAAATTCTGAGGAGCGTGTTGACACAGCTGATCAGGAGACAGTCCCTTGGGATCACAGTATTCCTGAAGACATAAAGCAAAAAATACAGCCTAAAGAGGTTCCAGCAGAAAGTGTTACTGTCTGGATCGATCCGTTAGATGCTACACAAGAATACACAGGTAGCTGATTCTTGTTGACAAATCATGTGTGTAATTCTGATGTCTGCCTTTTATACTGGAAACAAAATAGTAAGTATTTAAAATGACATCTCTTGTTAAATTGTGTTATGTCAAAGCTAGTGTGATTTTAATTGAACAGATTGCATAATGAAATTTCTCTAGTTCCCAGATCACAGCGTTTACTTTTATATATTCCAGCTCTGAAATTACTTTGGTATTTCTCACAGCTAAGTAATTGCTATAATAAATGGTAACTCAGTTATGGAATTACACATTTCTTTATTTCAGTTATTACTGTGGCAACACTAAGTATCTCATATTTTGGGTTTTCTTTATTTAAGGGGAATACTAAGTAAATACTCTATTTAACTTGATAAAAGAAAATTTTTGTTATACTTTTTAAAAAAAAGGCATGCATAATTCAGTCTTTGGATGTCATGTAAGAAGTTCAAGGTAATCTAAAGTAAAATTCATGCTGATAAGTACTGCAGAACAAATAGAATTTTTTTGTGAATATTTCACTGATGTAATCATCTTTTCCTGTGAACATTCCTTGGTATTTGAATATCACTTTTGAACCAATAGATGATAGGAGGTGAGGCAGAGAAAGGAGAATGTAGGGGCACAGATTTCCATGAAAATATGTGCTACATAAGACACAGCTGTTAGTATTAGATCTGGTAGTATAGGTTACTTCTGCTGAACAGGAAAAATTGCTGGAAAACTGAACAACCTTTAAAGTCTTTTGAAAACTGCAAGGTTATTTGAAAATACATCAAAGTTACTTAATTGCAAGAGGCAGAATGTAGACTAGTCTTCAGAGAACATTTCTATAATCTCATGTCTTTTTTCTTTTTCTGTTCTTGGCATCTGATTGTAAACTTGCTCACTTTCTTGTTTTCCCCACAGAGGATCTTCGACAGTACGTCACCACAATGGTTTGTGTGGCTGTAAATGGTAAACCAGTAATAGGAGTGATACACAAGCCATTCTCATCATATACAGGTACCTTCATGCCTTCACATATTTCCATCATCATCAGCCATAGTGTTAATTTAAATTTGATGTCTCAGACAACATCTCTAGGTATCAGCGAGAAAATAGTACCTGGGGTAAAAGATCACTGCTGCAGATGTGTTCTGTGCTATAAACCACAAATGAAATGGCTGTCCTTGTTTAACAAAAAAATGATGCATTTAATACAAACTAACTGAAAATATGTTTAGGAATTAAGACCCCTTCAATCAGAGTGCTTGTAGCAAACCAAAAAAGTTAAACCTACAAATACTGACCAGTCTTATGTTTGCTTTTAGTCTCTAGCAGAAAAGAGTTCTTTGTTCATTCAGCAGAATAACTTGGGTCTGTAATATTATACCCAGGAGCTGGTGTTTATTCAGTGTGAATAACAAAGATTGATTAAAGATCTTAATGGCAACTGTTTGTATGTTACAGGCAAGACTGTCTAGCATAGCCTTATTGATTATCTGCCATGCTTTTAATGCCACAACTGTGAAGTAATTAATTCTTTAGTATTAATGGTGTATCAGTGAGCATTGCTGCAAGTTTGGCAATGTGTGTGCACTTCTGAAGGCTTCAAAGTAGTTTAAGTATTCACGTCTTGCTATGTCTTTGGAACAAGAAGTTCTGTTTACAGTTTCCCTTAGGCAATACTGACCTCTAGAGTTCTGAAGTTATGCAGTAGGTCTAGCATAAAAACTAAATGAATAAAGGTATTTTTTATTTTTTTTCTTTTTGGGGCCCACTGAACACTCAATATTTTGTCCTAATATTTTACTGTCTTTAAATATGAAATTAATTTCTAATCTTTAAAGTATATGTGCTATATTCCAGTATGCTTCAAGAATCATAGAGGGTTTGGAACATTTTTCTATGTATCAATATCTATCTGAAGAAATGGGGTTTTAGCACTGTAATGTTAAAAATTTATCTCCTTTAAAAATAGTGAAGTGTGAAATACTCAGACACGGCATTAGATGAAATGCGATGAATTCTGTCATTCTGTGTGACAAGTATTCATTTTCCAAGCTGGAAATACCAATATGTTATGCGTAGGATTGTTCCTAATAGTACCACACAAATACAAAGTGATAAAGGGCAGTCGGCATTGTTATCACACATAGCTCAGTCTGTTGCCATACAATCTCGCCCTCTAGTGAGATGAAATTGCTGGTTACTTTGCTGAGTAAGTGTCAGATTAATGGTTAGGGGATGCCACCTACCAAGCTTGGCTTTGAACCTCATGGTGAAACACGTGGGAAGCTGTGTATTCTAAATTCAGTTCTCTGAAATACAGCACTGAATGTTTTTCTTTGTATTGCTATCCTCCTGAGCTATTTCCTTCCTTAGCATCACTATCCTTCTGAGCAGAATGACTCAATAACATCTTTGAAGGGTAGTGGGGCTTTTTTTTCTTGTATAAAAATGTTATTTCGGGAAATATTGGAACTATTTCTGACTAGGGGCCATCCTTTTAACTTCTATGGCTTTCCAATTGCAAATTCTAAATATTACTACTTGTGATTTTTCCATCTTAGTCTGTTTTTTTGAAAGTATCATGTAAGAAAAGCAGGCATGGCGTAGTGTCATATGCATAAATGTGGGGGGGGAGTCTGTTTCTCTTCTGCCTGTGTGCAAATGTGGGTATCTACCCCTTCCTCTGTCAGCCCTAACTTTCTTTTTACAGTAGGGAGAGATACTAAGTCAGAGGTATCAATTATATTTTTTTGGATAAGTATCCTTTTATCTCCACACCTAACAGAGATTCTCTTTTGTAAATCTTAGCAGAATTTGTGTTTCTTTTGTAGCTTGGGCAATGGTGGATGGTGGGTCGAACATAAAAGCTCGTTCCTCCTACAATGAGAAAACTCCAAGGATTATTGTATCCCGCTCCCATGCAGGAAAAGTTGAGCAGGTTGCACGGCAGACATTTGGAAATAAAACTGTGATAATCCCCGCTGGTGGAGCAGGTTTGATTCTTTAAGCATCCTATCCCTTTTATTGCTTTTGAATGTTTTAACAGTGTAGCTTTTATCAGACAAAAGAATGTATCTGTGGCATCTCCTCTTTTTCCTCTTGCTTTTTGATCTTCACATCCCTAAAAGCAAGCACTTGACAATAGGAACACAGTTTTTGCTGTGTCTAGGGACATAGATGCAACCTTAGTTCAGGCTTCAGGCTATTCACAAGTCAGTATGTTAGTGACTCTTAGGCTGGACCAGCAATGTTGTGGTCCTTTCATTGAACAGACTAATGTGTGTTCTTTGAAGTCACTGATGCCTCAGTGGGAGAAAAAGGGTTGTGTGACCACTGACAGAATCATGGAAGAGAATCTGTTGGTTGTTAGTTAACTATTAGTATGTTTGATTAAAAAAGTATTAAGAAAAAAGCCGTGAAAGTTTGGTACTATTTCTTGCATTTATGTCAAAAGAGAAAACTAGTGTCACTATAGTCCATTTTTATCTGCCTCATACTCAAAGAGGTTTTTAGCATACTTTTTACTTACACAATATCCTTGTGCATGTTACTCACAGAAAGTGTAAGTGCATTTGATCATAGCCAATCTTCTCGAGGGTTTGACTCTGTATAAGATAAAGAAAGAAACAGTTTAATGAAACAAGAATATCGTTCAAAGAGTTGAAAAACTAAAAAAATTCCATAAAAGAAAAGAGTACTATTTTGAACAATGACTTTGTACTGGATAATGAGTGATAAAGGGGAAAGCCCTGTGCTGAGTTGCTTTATTAGAGTGGTGTATGCATCTTCTTTCAATTGTAATAAAAAGCCAGGAAGAAAAAGGTAGACTTCAGCATGATACAGGGATTGAGACATACGGGTATAAATGTAAGAGCAGAACTATATTTGAGTTTCTGATCTTGTTCTTTTAATATGTCTCTACAGGAAAACCTGGTTTATTTTTTTTTTTCTTTTTTACTTCTGCCCATTTCTTCTAGGTTATAAAGTGTTGGCCCTCCTTGATGTGCCTGAGAAGAATCAAGAAGAAGCTGACGTGTATATCCATGTCACCTACATTAAGAAGTGGGACATATGTGCTGGAAATGCAGTGTTGAGAGCATTGGGTGGCCATATGACTACCCTGACTGGTGAAGAAATCAGTTATACTGGCTCAGATGGCAATGAGGGAGGACTTATAGCCAGTATCAACATGAACCATAAAGCACTAATTGAAAAACTTCCAGATCTGGAAAAAACATCACACAAATAAACATGACTGATGGAGAAGTACAAGTTGTGCTTTTGTAGCCTCCAGATGCTCTGTCTGAAGAAGCAGGTATGAAAACCTGCTGGGAAAGATGCACAGCAAAGCAAAGCAGTTTGGTGTGGGTTTGAGGACTATATCCTGCATTGGGTTTTCGTCAGTGGTGGTATTTAAAAGAGAATAAAATAATAATAATCAGAAGTAGGAAGGGGACTGATGGCCTCACACATCAATTTTTATGTTTTATTTTTTTCAAACTGTTTTCATGCAGTTCTCATACTTAAGGTGCATATACCATATATATTAGTGAACGTAGGTGAACTAAAGCAAAATCCAAATTTTTTCATAAAATAACTTAAGTATTTCTCACAGGAATTTCTTGAAACCTTTTACATCTTACTGTAGTTGTAGCAACTCCATAATGAATTAGGTACTAAAAAAATTTGATTTGAATAGGCATCTGATAACTGTGAACAGTTTTGTCAAGAAACATGACCTCATATTCTGTATCCCCTGAATGGAAAGCACAAGAAGGTTGATTCAAATCTATATGCAGCAACAGTTTATCTTTGACAGTGTGGCACTCCTGCTTTTTAAGAGAAAAAAAGAAATGTTCTGTACTATTTTAACTTCTTTCCTGAAGATGTAAACCAGTTTTAGTTCAGGTGGGTTGTGAATATCGGTGTTTTATTAATCAGTGTAATTATTTCCATATACCTTTTTAAAAGAAGGCAGTGTTTCCTTGTATAGTTTTTAGCAGTTACTTCTTGTCCTTGTTTTCTGTGTACAGTGTTGAAGATGCATGCTAGATTTTTCTCTAATGTAGGACTTGTTCATCATTTGGTGTTAGAGCCGATTGAAGCAGCCTCTTCCTTCAGTACCTGTTATTTTGTTTGTTTTGGGTTTTTTTTTTTGTTTGAATGGAGTCATAGGGAATGGGTTTAACAGAAATAGTAAGTTGACTGGTTATTTCCATTTACAACATGAGATATAAACCAGCAATTTTTCTGCAGCCCTTGAAATAACTTTGTCTTTTTATCTTAAGGTGCACTCTTTTCTGCAGAAAGCTCTTGAGCCATCCCAAACAGCTTGTGGGTTGTGGTAATGTACATAGAGAGAGAGAGACCATTTGAACTTGAATCTGTTTAAACAAATTTGAAGAACATGTGGCACTTGAAGTACAGCAGGGTCTCCAGAACTTTACTGAAAAATGTTCTTTCCAATCCAGTATATACACAACAGAATGTGAGTTCTTTGATATCAAATGACAATTTGTTGCACCTCTAAAATGTGTGGAGCTCTATCTGTAAAAATGTAACCATCTGCACTGTTGTTCTTTGCACCCCCTCAAGGGTTTCAGAAGGTTAAAATATACCTGTTGTTTGAATTATTGTAAAGAAGCTTCCCCTCTCTCCTCAAGAAAGCTAAAATTTTTAATTAATACAGGTGTTTTCTGTTTGAAGTTTAATCAGTATAGACTTAGGTTGTTTAAACCTTATTCTTAGTGACTTTAACTTCTTTCATGCTATTAATCAGAACTGCAGTTCTGAGTCAAAAGAGGTTTTTCTTTTTAGATCAGTAGTAGAGCGTGGCTAGATATTGATTTTAACTTCTAGCTGAAGTTCACATTTCCAGAAGATCTTCTCATATGTTGCAGAACTATGGATACAGCCTTTTATTCCTCAATCTTACTGGCAAAGTAGACTGAAGCTTAGTCCTACTAGCCTTTTGGTACGGGTAGTTTTGTTTAGGGAGCGTTTTTTCTGACGTTAACACTATTGCTGCTCTTTGAAAATAGCTTTTACATATGTAGATAATACACAAAGCAACTTTACTTCCAGTTCTTAAATTTAATAAACTGCTATATGCTATGACAAATAAGCGATTATGCCCTTTTTGAAAAGGATCTGATCTATTTCAAAAACTTGTTTAGTTTCTAAACCGCAGTGAAGAATAAAAAGCCAGATATTTATCAAGGTTTTAGTAATATACAAGAAGACTGCAGCTTTTTAAGGCTGATTTAAATGTCTTAGAGCCTAATAAAAAAACCTGTTTATTTGTTAAAGAAGACAGATTAAAATTTAAATATGAGAAATAGCCCTAGTTAGCCTAGTGTAAAAACCCATTTGTGTCACAGGGATTGAATGCACAATATTTAAATAGGCAATTAAGACAAAGGCTGTGGCAGGTTGTGATTTTAGATTCAGCCTGAAATCATGTGTAAACTTACCTTGTGAAAATGTGACTGCTTTTATTTTGGGTATGCTTCTGTCACTTCCTTGCATAAGCTGTAATCAGACAGCTTCTGTATGGGAAATGAAAAATAAGCTGTTATGTAATGTATCAGGGCTTACTTGCATCTTAGTTGAGGGAAAAGCAAATACCTTAGGAAAAGCCCTCTCCTTCCTTCCATGTGCTGGCTAAAGAGCCTAGTCTTCCATTAGTGAGACTTGTGCTTGTTTGGACCCATTTATGTTCTGAATTGCTTTGTTGCAATGGATCACAGTGTTCAGTACCTGTCACAGGACACCCTTATTGGCCTAATCTCACTTCCTGTGAAATCGAAGGCAAGGTGAGAGTGCAATGCCCAGTTGATTACTTCTAGCAGAGCCTGAGCTCAAAGAGTTTTCTCACAGCTGCGGCTTAAAGTGGTGCTTGGGGTCTCCCACTCTAGTTTAAAAAGTAGCTGCTTTGGTATGAGAATAGGTAAGCAGCTGATGAATATCAGTTTCTGATGTAATTTTGCAATAAATGTAACTGTTACACAGACCAGCAAATATTCAAAAGTGCTGGCTTAGCACACGTGTGCCAGTGCACTGCGTTGTTCGTACGACGTTAATGCTCAGCACATCCTATTTCTTTGACTATGTTTACACTCCATTCTAAATCATTTTGCTGTTTTAGCTTAAATACTTGTTTGGTCTCAGCAGTGTGGATGTAAGCTTATGCCCAGAGGGATAGGAAATGGTACCATACCTGTATTTCACTGCTAGGCTAGAACATTGTTCTTTGCATCCTAACCTTTTCCACATAAAGCTGTCATACCGTTTTTAGGGATGCTACTTAAAACAATTGCATGATGTAGGTCAGTCCTACGCAAGTATATATTTTCTAAAAATCGTGGTATCATCCTAGTTCCAAATAAGAGAAGTAAGAGAATGTATTATTTTAGTATTGGTTTTCCAGTGATGGATTTTTTGAGTGGCTATTATGGTTAAGGTAATTGAAAGTGAAATTATTCTAAAACCATATGTATTTTCTCTTTTTCATTCTGCTAAAAAGAGTGTATGGTAGATAAATGATACCTAGTACTGTACCAAGAGTCCTAGCTTTCATTCCTTGAATGAATGTTTTCTAAATAAATGGACACAGAAATAAAAGGGTTGAATATTGTACTTAACTGGTTTTGAGATTAACCTGTTTGGCAGACTTTTACAGATGGACTTATATAAGAGCTGTTCCAATCTACAAAGCACATAATAATAATGAAAATACTTAGCAGAGATGGCTTACTTGGATAGTGAGTTAACCATATAGGTGAAGCTGCAGTCATCTAGTGATGTTGGTTCATACATTTACTTTTACTTCGTGGTTGTTAGAGTGGGAAGATTTTCTAGTTGGCTTCAGATGTGGAGAAGAGTTTTGATTTTTTTTAAATGGCCAGTGGCTGGAGCTCAGGGGCGGGGAGAGTGGAGTCAGCATTGGAATTTATCTCTGCTGTTTTGTTTATAAACAAGTGTATTCCAACATCTTTGTAGCATCCTGTTGTCTGTTGGAGTTGTGCAACAGTGGTTCAATTTTGTGTACTCTTGGATTAGCAGTGTAAAACCAGGAATCTATATCCCCCAAGAACAATGCAGAGACTGAGTGTTGTGCTGCACTTCTGCTGTGTTATGCCAGCAGAGACTGGCTGCTTCATTGTCTCATAGATGTCATTCCAGTTGCAGTTTGTCTCATAGCAAAACTGCTTTTCTAGGCTACTGTCTCCCCAGTTATGCCCAACCTCTGCATAGATCTGTTTCCTGAGCAAACTAGAGAAGTGAAGAGGAAAGAAGCAGATGACTGTGCTGAAGAAATTATAACACAAAACACTTATTTCTATTTCTTGATTTTTAAATTACATTGATCATTTAATTTCCCTCATCTTTCAGGGGTTAGATAATAATACAGTTAAAATTCAATGAACCACAAATAAATGCCTGTGAGATTTTAAACCCAAGCTTGATGAGAGTGCAAAGGACTGCCCGTAATCAAGGTGAGCCTCAATGGATGGTTTTCTGTCAGGCCATTCATGCTGAGCCTTTCTTCAATGCTTTGGTTTAGATGTTTAGACCCTTTCACACAAACAGTTACAGATTTGACTTTGCCAAAATATGCCTGATGGTCTTATCTTCTGATCTGCTATCCTTAATGATAAAACTGCACTATAGCCCCTTCACTGTAATGTAACTCACTGAGACAAGAATATGGTAACTCTCAGGACTCAATTGCTTGATCTGTGAACCACAGCTTCTGTTTGGCAGCTCTTACAACAAAGTGCTGGCACCTGCTGTGAGTGTCTCCCCACCCTACAAGCAGGTCGTGCCACTCACGGTTCATATTGAGAAGCTGTTGAAGCCTTCACTTCATGGTCTTCAGATGCCACATCAGCTCTTTCAGCTCTTTTGAGAGAAGTTCAGAAGTGCTCATCTGATTTCTTACTGGAGCTCCCTCTGGAGCCAGTAATTAGTGGTCACTTTTCCCTCTTTACTCTTCCTCTCTGTTCCTTTCTGATCCTTGCTCCTTTCTTAGTCGATATGGAAAAGAAAAATGAGAGATCAAAGGTGAAGACAGTCACAAAATGAGAGGGCCCCAGCAGTAAACTATCCAGTTTATCCTGAAGGTATTAATGTTTGGGACCAACATCTAATGTGCTGATTGTACCAGAAGGGTAATAGTTGCCAACAAAATAATGGTAACCTAGAGATGTTCATGTGATTAGTGGTACTGAACATGCAGAGAAGATGCAAATGGACTAAGGGGAAGTTAAACACACAAAAACAAAACAGCTTTTCAGTGTAGTCTTACAAGCATTTGACATTTGTGGCCTCCTGGGTGCAGAGCTTCATTGGTTGTGAAAGAAGGTGCATTGGCCCTCTGTGAAAGGCCTGATTTTGTTGAACTCAATAGCAGCATTCCCACTGAACTCATTGTGAGCAGAAACAAGCCAGATAAAACAGGAACAGTAAAGTAAGTTCTGAAAAGCTCAACTTGTGTCAATAGAGCAGATGACCTGGGTTGTGTTAAACTTGCCTCTGGCAGCTTCAATCTGCATTCGGAAACATCATCCCAGTGTCTTGAGATTCTAAGTCTTTCAGGTTTTTTTATGGTCTACAATTGATAGAGCCTACTTTTAGATAATCTTATTTCCTAACCCAATTTTTCCTTATTTGTAATTCACATTTCATTTTTTCTCTCCAAAGGACTGGCAACACTCCAGCATTTTTCCTGTTGTCCCACCAAATTGTATTAGCATTTTCCAACTGTGTGCCAAATTGAAATAATTCTATAAATAAACTCTCTGAAACTACTGGTCTGTGAAGGTGTTTTTCTATATTTTGTCTTTTTATTGGGTATTTATTGTTTCTTTGTGCACCGGCTGTTTTTTTTTTCTTTTTCCAGTAATGCATGTCAGGTTGCTTCAGCTGTGCTATGTCCACATGTGTGTGAGAGTTTCTGCCTGAGGGATTATCATTATTGACAGGTGATAAATACAATTCAAGTTCTCACTGGTTTTGGTTTTATAGGTGTGTTACTGTGAAAGTTGGTCAGTTTGTGAAAATGAGTGCTTAGAAATCCCCTGTATAGTATTGTTCCTTGGATCTGAAGAAGTTTTCTTTCCAACATCATCTCCAGGTCTCTTCCTAATTATGTTAATTGATTCTGTTCAAGTCTCATGTTTCCATGAGAATAGTATAAGTAGGGTACTAACTGTACCATTACGAGCCCTTTTTCTAATAATGTGCCACTCTTCATAAGTGAAACCATGGAATAAGTTGAAAGATTCTTTAATATGTGCAGGGCTGGATGTACAGTGAAGTCATGTGTCATCCTGGTAATACTGGCCTTGATGTGCTTTGCTGAATCTCATCTTTTCCCAGGTAGGAACCAAAGCTACCAGGCAGCTTTTGTGCCAGTACAGTCCAGTCAGTATGCACACAAGCTACTTTTTAGCGTGCCTAGAATTGTGCTCTGGCACTAACACTGTTTGTATCTACTACTAAACACTCTCAGACTCTAAAACAGTAGCTGCTTGTGGACTGCTCATTGAGAATTGTCCTGGGATTGTGCAGACTACTGAACTGTGCCTGGGAAATAGTTTGGGATGGTCTGGTTTGCTTAGGCCAAAAAACATGCGGGGGATCGTGCATAGTACTGTCTGATGTGCTGGACAATTCAGGTCATTCAGAATGGTATGACTTGTATGGACTCTAGGCAATATATGCCACAGGAGCTGTACAGAGGTGTTTTGAAATCCCTTATCATACATAATCTAACCAGGAAAGGAATTCAGAGAGAGCTGTCTGTTGTGATGCTCTGAAAAGTGTCTCGGGGAAGACACATCCGAGAGGAGCAGGGATTATTCCCATCTTGCAAAGTGGGTGCCCATCACTTCTGCTGTAGGCTTAAGCTTGGTGGCCCTTTACTCATCATATACCTTAAGTAAAATGACTCCAAATTACAGGAATTCTTCCAGTGTAAATGCTATGATTTAAATGAAAAACATAGCAAACATTGTGCTAATAAATAATTCTGTTAGGGGCAATGGACAGAGAAGGAACTTCACAGATTTGGCTTTTACATTTAAAAACCACTCATTTTTCTTCCAAAGGAATGTATTTATTATAGCGTTAAGAATGTGTCATGTTTGCACTCCTCTCATCTGAACTCCACCCAGGCTGTGTGGGTATGGCGTGTTTGTATTTGCAGAGGGCAAATAGCATAGCGCACATTCTACTTCAGCCAAGGGATAGTGTTCAACTAAAATAAAGGGATCAAATATGTAAGAAATCTGTACCAGGGGAAAGGCAAGTGCTTTAACCTGCTTCCGATAATTTTCTGGAATAATACCTAAATCTGTTGGAAATATTTGTATCAGCAGTAAAGATTTTAATTTATTTTCCAAAAGTAAAGTATTTCTTATATATGTATATATATATATATATATTTTCTACTGGACTGAACTGACCCAGATCTGTTTACTATTCTGATAAGCTCCTAATCTTCTTTTACAAAAATAGTTTTATGCATGTTTAAGAATGGCTTTTAGAACCTAAGTTGCACTCCATCCTAGTGGATTTATACCAAGAACACTACATACGCCAGAAAAGCTTTTAGCATTGACACTTGGATCTCTAGTACTAAAGGGCCTGGGGCAGGGGGAAGCAGAGGCCAGTAGAGGGCTCTGTCTTTTCATGAATGCCCTGAAGAGCCAAAAAGAGCTTGGTGACTGAATTTACATGCCCGTTTCATTTTTCACAAAGAAAGTCTTTCACGGTTTTTTTTCCTCAGTTGTGCCATATGTCTTTAGTTAAGAGGGCACCCACAGAGTTCTAGGGTCTGGTCCAGAGGGCTGCACTTAGTTGCTCCTATGCAATTTGACAGCTTGTTATAACACTCTTGAGTTTTTGGACTCAATCTTATAGGTCATTTCCACCTTAAATGATTCTATTATTTTAATGCACACTTTCTCTTGTATTTTTAATTTTATATAACATGGCAGTCAAACTGCATGCTTCTGTGCAATGGATTTAAGCTACTGGTAATATACTTTCTGTTAAGTAGCACTTTTCAGACTCCTTGAAATTTATCCCATGAATTCATGGACATCTGTAACGAGCTTGGAAAGGCATGGCGTGAACTTCCCATGATGTCTTTGTGCGTGTTCATTTCGTGGAAGTTTTGCTTCTGTAAGTCATGTGAATAAGGTCAATTGTGACAACTGTACATTCAAATTTTGTGTGCTTTTAAGTACATAACCACTTCACCTGCTACTGCAAGTTAATTGCTCATGACTGATATTGTTAGAGGAGCAACTCCTCCACTTCTATAAGCTCAACAGCTTGTACATTTCAGTCTCTTGGAAATAATATCTTTATATTCTCACCCACCATAAGCATGACTTGAGGACCCTCTGTTATATGCCCCCCCCCCTTTTCTTTTCTTTCTTCAAATGTAGATCCACCACCAGAGAAATTTTTATCAGTTTAGTTTAACAAATCAAAAAGCCTTTACTATTGCTTAGGCAATTAAAATGCACTCCTGTTGAAATATCAAGACTTGTCTTCTAGCTAATATAAACTGACATGTATTTTGATATAATTTGATCTTCCTTCAAGATAGCAAAGAACAAGTTTCTGTCTTGGCTTTTCTTGCACGTGAGAGCTGTTCCATCTTTGTCTGGAAATATTGCATCTTGCAGCAGCGTGTTGGGACCTCTTGAAGCAGCTCCATCATACATTTTCAGGCTCTTTCTGGCCACTGTGCCACAAAGAACAGAGAGCACACTAATATTTTATCAGCTTCTTGCTACTGAAGTTGTTCGTGGTTTATTTCTCTTATTTCTGTCACTGGCAGTTGTTCTCCATGTTCTCACATGGAGAAAAAAAAAGTGATTTTCTCTTTCAGCCTTTTACAGGAAACTTGCAGTGCTTTTCTCCTCAACTGTCTTCCAGTACAGTATTAAAAATGTAATATTATTGTTTTCTTTGCATTGCCTTTAATTTGCACCACATGGACTTCTAGTGACTGCCACCTTCCTGCCTGTGGAGCAGAGAAAAAAAATAAATGTCCATGTCCCCAACATTCCAGCTGCACAGACAAAGCAAGCGTGTGCTGCTCTCTGCCTCCCTACACTTTCCTTTAGTCAAACCTGAGGCAAAATGAAAGTGAGGAGTTTTGAAGAACATCTGTTTGCTATGATCCAACCTTCAGTCTTCTGCTGTAGGGATTGTTACTCCCATTGTGAAAGCTAATGTAAATGTGTCCTTGCTTGCCAGAGGGATGGTACGGATACCAGAAGGTCTAACTACAGCAGAAAAAATAGTTGGAGAGAGATAGGCATCCTCATTTTAAAGAGAGAGCTAATTTAAGAGTTGCTATTTATGGGTGCAAGTAATTCCTTCTGTTAATTATATATAACTGCCTATTTAAGTGCAATACTTATAACATGAAAATGAACTTCCTTAGCTGCTTTGGGAGATGAAGAGAAATTAAGAAAAGAAAGCTAGTGTTTACTTTGGGATCTTTTTAAAAAAAAAAGAAAAGATTGCCTGTTTGGACAGCTGTCCTCCATATAAATTGAAATGCTTTAAATCACTGAATCTTTCTTGGTCCATGTCCATCACAAGCACTTCCTGCAGTGTTGACTGTCTGCACTGGGACTAGGCTGAGCTTTGCTGTGTATCTGTCTTCTAACTGTGGGATTGGGCTAAGGGAGGTGGTTCGTCATCATACACGTTAACTTGGGGTCATCAGAGGCAAATGCTTACTGAGTAACAGCCTCTGGATTTCTGTTTCCATGTTTAACACTTTCACAGACAGAAATTGAATTAGGACAAAAAATATCCTACAAAAAATGGCGAGGAGCCTGTTAGGATGCTGTGTGTTGCTGCCTCCAGTTTAGCACCATTTCTGTGGGAAAGGGAGGAGTGATTTTCCTCCATCCACATTTGCTGGGTCACTTGAAAAACAAAAATAAGAAGAACTGCTACCCATTTTTGAAATTGCACTGAGATTCCGCCTTCTTAATAAAATTGCAGTCAAGGCGGGAAAAGTGCATGAATAATTCCTAAACTCTATCACTGTAATCACTTGTGGAATGTGATCTGAATTTCTATGGCTCGAGTCACATGTCCAGGGCACTGGGAAAAGGAGAGAGACAGAGGGGGATCCAAATGGAAATGAAACTGAGATTACTTTATGTCACAAAATCATAAAATAGTTTGTGTTGGAAGGGACCTTTAAAGTATCATCTAGTCCAACCCTCCTGCAATGAGCAAGACAACTTCAACAAGATCCGGTTGCTCAGAGCCCTGTCCAGCCTGACCTTGAATGTACCACCTCTCTGGATAACCTGTGGTGATGTCTTACCACTCATAATGAAAAAATTTTTTCCACCTATCTAGTCTAAATCTACCCTCTCACTTTAAAACCATCACCCCTCGTTCTATTGCACCAGGCCCTGCTAAAAAGTCTGTCTCCATCATTCTTGTAGGCCCACTTTAAGTATTGAAAAGCTGCAATAAGGTCTCCCCAGAGCCTTCTGTTCTCCAGGCTGAACAACCACAACTCTCTAAACCATTCCTCATAGGAGAGGTGCTCTATCCCTATGATCATTTCTGTGGTCCTTCTCTGGACCTGCTCCAACAGATCCACTATCCTGTGCTGAGGACCCCAGAGCTGGTTGAAGCACTTCAGGTGGGATCTCACCAGAGTGGAGTAGAGGGATAGTCACCTCCCTCGACCTGCTGGCCATGGCTCTTTGGATGCAGCCCCAGGGTACAGTTGACTTCCTGGACTGCAGGCATG